CCACCGCTTAATAGAGGTGAAAATTATAGTAACTAAGGGGAAACATTTCGGGACTTTAAAAACCGACCGCTTAATACAGGATGAAAGCTTAATAGGGTGCCGCTTAATACAGGTTCGACCGTATTGATTATGAATAACATGAAAGGAGTCATACTGCTGTAGGTTAGGTTTATGTCTAACCCTCGACGTATCAGAAGTGTTTAGCAAGACGTGCCCTATTTGCTAAAATTGAAGCCAGAGTTTGGTGAAGTGTTAGCCTTAGAGGAGGTTGCGGCTTATGGCCGAGACTTTTTGGGAAAAAAAAAATGTATTTCAACGCATTGGATCGGTACTAAGCTAACATTTTCCAACACTGTTACAGAAATGACAGACTGGGAGTTCACTATTGTGTCACTAGAAGCAAAGTCGTGGCAGTTTGTGGCAGCAACACAAGAGGTATTTACTCAAATTAGGAATCGAAAAAGCGTATATGTGGATAAAGTTTAGTCTATAATAAACCAACCGATCTGATGTAAGGCGTAGGAAAGTGACGTTATCATCTCTACGTTCAAGAGAAACAAGTCATTAAGTGTGCGTGAAGAGGCGAAACAAGATCGACCGTGAGCCTAGATCAGAATATTTTAAGTTTGGGTTATATTTCTTTATATATTTGTTTTAGGTTGGCAACTTTCAGTTAGTGATAAAATGTTTTCCGTTTAGGAAAGAGATGCTTGGGTACAGTTAATCGAACAACAGATTTTGTCCTGCTTGCAGTCAAATGAAAGCGGGAGAGAAAAGGTACAATGATAGAGAGAAAATTAATGTTTTTTCATTCAGCTTCAATCTTTAAATCTGCTGCAGTACGTTATATTTTAAGCTCGGTTCTTACATGTGATATTTGCTTCTTTTGCGTGTTTCTGTTTTAGTCACGTGGTAATAGTAGTTCTTCAACAAATGGTCAGGACATGCAATCGATAAGGAACATGGAGGGGAACGAAGTTTGTGTTGACTGTGGTGCACCGAGTAAGTTGGTATTTTTGTTTTGCTCTTACTGTTTTTGGGCAAATAAGCCGTATTTGGGAGCTCAAAGACTTAACGTGTAGCTTACCTCACTGGAGGTAACTTAGTCAATTCAGTCCGAGTTTTACCCACGGTTTCTGGCACTAGGGCAAGTTTGGGAATTTTAAAATGAACATTTCTGCGGACAAGCCCAGTCAAGAGTTTGATTCCTTTCCGCAGACCAGAAATAGGAAGAGCTAGGCAATTAATGCACAGGTTTCTGTGGAGTCGTAACTCAGATCTCGTTGTTTTCATTTAGCACACCGTTCTTCAGGCGAAGTTGTGGTATTCCTATTGAGAATCCGAATATGCAAAGCACTAGGTTGGTTTTGCGTTACCGCGGGGTTTGTCACCTTTCTTACTAAATTGTCGAACGCAGCATTGGTGGTAGACATGTATAGTATAGTTAACCACCGCGATCTCTGCAAAAATGGCTCGATTTTAAAGGCCCTTAGGGGGATTTAAATACTTTCCTATTCCATGGTCGTGACAAATGATATTTTAACTTCCCATATCAGATCCTGACTGGGTATCGCTGAACCTCGGGGCTCTGATGTGCATAGAATGTTCCGGAATCCATAGGAACCTAGGAACTCATGTGTCTAGAGTACGGTCATTGGACTTGGATGATTGGCCGTAAGTATTACAAACAGACCAACTTTTTAACACTTTACCCCCTAACATCAGTATCAATATTCTCCATACTATTCACTATACATTTCCTAAGGCGCTGACAAAGAGAATTTGTTCAATAATCAATACAGCTTCTTTAGTTGGTGATCATTTCCTCCATTCCTTTTACCTTAATGTTTGATTTAAGGGTGATATTGTAAGGAGAAATTAGATGCTAGTCACTCCTAGGGGTTAAAGGGTTAAAAAATTTTCAATTTCTTGTGGAAAGTGATCCGGAATTTCATTGGTTTTACTTCGCAGCGCTTCGCGACTTGTCTAGAAAACTTACACTACCTTCTTAACCAATCAGATGCAAAACCAGAAACCAATCGTGATCCGGTTACGTGTTTTTATCGCACCCAATAGGATAGCTTGTTTCCGAGTTTTCATAGGTACTTTGAACTAATTGCCTATTATCTGATTTGCGACGCAATAGATTTTAATTTATTTCTGCGACGCTCAGTCAAATTGCGCACTGACATGTTTTTTTTCATGTAAAGGTAGACTTTTATAAAGTCATTAAAGTTTTGGCACTTGGTAATTTTATGTAAATCTATTTCGTTGCAGATCGGAGCTTACTGCTGTCATTAGTGCGATCGGTAACACTCTTGCTAACAGCGTGTGGGAAGGAAGAATACAAAATAAAACGAAACCAACAGCTTCGTCACCAAGGTTTGAACTACATCTTATTACACTTTAGGTCGTAGGTTACGTGAAGTGGCTTCAACAAGGTCACATAACGGATACATATATCACGGTAAATCACGTTTGTTCGCTTGAGGTAACGAAGGGTAACGTCACTTCAACTCGCTCAAAGTCGTATTTTGTTACACAGTGACAGTATTGCGCAATAAATAACAATAGTTCTGTGCTCGCTTCTTTTTTTATTCAGTTTTCTAACCTCCACGTAATTGAACAATAAGAAAGAAAGTGATAAATGGTTCAAAATTGGTTTTAATTTGTTTTCATCCTCAGAGAAGAGAAAGAAAAATGGGTCCGGGCGAAGTATGAGACAAAAGAATTTATTTGTGAGCTTCCGCCGAGCGATTTCTCTCTGGGCGAAGTAAGTACATTTACATTTTATTGGAATTGAAGTTATTTAGGACACACCACCTTAATATTGGCCGGTGCCTCGGAGTAATTGCTTCCTCAACTGTCACAGTTCCTCTCAACTCGGACAAGCATCTCTTTCAGGGGCATTCTAGCCTGCGAATGGGGCTATTGCTAACCACTTCAGCCCAATGGTTGGTTGGGCTGGCGAATACCCGCCTTCTTCCTCTTATCATTGAAAATAAAGTAAACCAAATTTTATCGCGTTTGAAGATTGTGTGCAGAAGCTCAACTGTTTCAAATGCTTGGTAAAACTACAAGGCACAACCCTAGGATGATCTTAGATATAGAGGAGGCTTTTTGTTAAAAAAAAAAAAAAAAAAGTGATAACCGCCGATTGAGTTAAGTCACTTCGAGTTATAGAGACACTCAACAGATACACATCGCGACCGTAAGGTTAACACAGTCACATATGGCGTGTTTTCACGTCAATCCAGTAACTTTCAAGCCCTTGTTTTAGCATTTTTAAGGAAACAATACATGGAAAAGAACTCTCGATTTCCGTCTTTCATCTGCGTCATCTGCGACCCAAAAAGTGTAATGCCGGCTTAAATTTTTTTCTTTATTTTTGACAGCAACTCTTGGAGGCTGTAGTGAAAGAGGACCTACCTCAGTGCATTCTTTTGTTGGCTCACTGTTCTCCGGAGGATCTCAACATCGTTAATGAAGACAAAGAGGGCTGCAACGCACTTCATATAAGCTGCTCGTTAGGAAACATTGTTATAACGCAGCTTCTTATATGGGTGAGTCAAAGTTAAAAACCCTTCAGAAAAAATGAGCCAAAGAAAACCGAATAGGTTGGGTGTAGGGGCCCTTCCCTCAAGAAAATCAGAAGAAGGCGTCGTCGGTGATTTCGATTTTTTTGTGAGAGGAGGGAGCGGTTGTACACAGATTGGAACTTCGCGTAAATTCTAAGCTATCAGCTATGAACCTTTTTCCCGAAATGTAGACCCAAAATGGTGATCCAAATTTTAAATTGTAAAATACGATAGTCTAAATGTAGATTTCCTATATTTCCTTCCCAGTATTTTGCTGATGTGCGGATTCTCGACGGCCAGGGTCGATCAGCTCTGTGGCACGCAAAGAGTGCTGGGAGTAAAGAGTGTGCCGATATATTACGTCATAATGGCTGTAATGATCTCGGTACCATGATTCCTCAGGGAAGTGACGTGTTTTGCTAACGATGGCGAATTACGTGGACTTGTTGACTCGTCAGGGATTCACAGTTCGCGCAGGCCGCAGGGTTAAGCTTTTACTTTACATCCATCTCAACAGTGGTAGCATGTGACGTGTGTCGTTTGAGTGGTGATTTGGTGGTGACAGTCACGCAGTTGGCGTGCTGTGTGACTTAGCGGCGTAGCGCAATGAAGTTGCTTAGTTGTCTTTCATAGACATTTTTGCAAGACGCCATGACCATTTAAAGAATTAGAGTCATGGTGTATGATCTCGTTTTGGTTACAAGAGCCTCTATGCTGCCAAAAATTATAAAAAAACCGCCGTACAGAAACAAAATTTACAATTGTGCAAAAAAGAAAAAAACTTACAAGAGTTGTATTTATTTGTTCTTAAAATTGTATATGTTCTTGATATGTAAATAGCAAATATTTCCTCTGTGCTTGAGGTTGAATATTCTATACAAGTAAATACTATATCCAAAGGGTGGAACATAAAGGAAATACTAGACTAAAAATAAATATGAGATTACAAGAATTTCTTCCTCAAAGAGAGAGGAATGATTTTTAATGATTAATTTTTTTTATTACGTCATGGCTTTCGTCCTTCTTTCGAATGAAATTCTGCTAACATTCTCTCTATTTTTGTTTTCTTCAAAAATAAATGGAATTATGAAATCTGCTGTCTGGTATTTTTCTGATTCTTACCACGTCGCATTATTTAAGACTGAAAACGTGATTTTTATAGTTTATTGCTTGTGCCTTTATGTTTGGCCACGACCATGCGTGAGCTCGGTACGGACGTTTCCTTCGGTTACGTCACCGAGAGATATTGACCGTGTGAGTCTGGGGGAAAGCAGTACAGGAATTAGGTCGGATAGTTGACCTTGGTTGATGTTTCAAGTGACGTCACAGGATCGAAAGTCAGACAAGTTACGCCGGCTTTCCTATCAGGATAAACTATTGAAGCTGCAATCGGTAGGAAGTTGGCAAAACGGGCGGACACTTTCACAGATACACGTAAAATCCATCGCCGCCTGGACAAGGATCCAGCAAATTGGCTAGCTTGTTGTTTTTGCTAAGCTACAGAGAGAACGTTCTCATCAGTCGTTCTATTAAGTTTAAATTTGTTAGAATTCTAATTCCTTAAACAAAAGTGGAGTACGTCGCCTGTGTCGACATGTGGGACGAAATTTAGAAGAAAGGCTCATTCTCTTTGCGCGGAGATGACTTTGGGGAGAGACATAGATCAAGGAAACGAAGAAGACTAGAAAGATAATTGAAACTAAACGAAGAAAAACCTCACAGGTTCTTACACCCAAGAAAATCCCATTTCCAAAATGATCGATAAAACTTTCCAGTAAATACATCGTTAGGATAACCGATGACGAGGAAAATAATGTAAACTAAGAAGCATTTAAGCGAATGTCGTGTTTCTTACAACAAACATAAGCGTATGGTGGTCGCTGGGGATAATTGGTAAGGGATCAGCAGGGTGAAAGGGTTCAAATATTTTAACAGCGTAAATCCAGACGCAATCTTTTTTACCCATGAATCGTATACATGACTATATACTTTTTTATCTTGTATTGAGATTGAAAAAGGAATCTGACCGTGCAAAAACTATCTTGAAATGCGATCATAATTCGTGCAGTTTAAAGAGTGTACGCAAAGGCTACCCTGGGACATTTGCGCTTTAAAGAGCATGGACTATGCACCATCTCTCCTCGCATGGCTTCAAGCTACGAATAGGCAATCAACGAATTGCTCACCTCTACAGCTGTTCACTCATTTCAGAGAGGATCCAAAACTGTTGAAATAATTACCTTCATTTTGATGACCTTGGTGTCTCCGCGAACTTTGCGAACTGGATTTATGTAAGCGTGTTCTCTCTTTGTTTCCCTGTGATCAGACACACTATCCGTGGTTTCGTTAACCTTTAAAACAAATCGTGGAAAAGTTTAAATTGTGACAGCCATAAAATTGTAATAGCGGAGCTCCTGTTCACAAACGCAAAAATGGAGCCCCATACTTATGAAAATGTGATAACCAACCCAGCAGGATACACCTTTTTTTGAAATTTAATGCATGTACATCCTATTTTAAACTGTAAGATAAGCGTACCCTGTAATAACGTATCCAATACCTATTTGTTTACATACCCACGTTATATAACTTTGTGAAGAAATGTTTCCGATACCTGTTTATCTTTGTCATCAGCCATGTGATAGCCATCCGCTGGTGTAACTGACACTTCTTTACTTTTTATCCCACATCCCTCGGATGCTCTCAAATCTGCTTTATTTTTGTCAGAATTTTCGGTGGCTGAAGATGCCTCCTTGTCATCGGCTTTCCCCGAGGACTTCAATTCTAGTTTCCAGTCTTTAATCAATTTTTGTGGAACCCTAGTTCCATCTCTAATCTGTCTTAACCAGATCTCATTTTTCCGTGTGCGCTCTCGCATGAGTGCGTTTAACCGCCGACAAGTCTGCCAAGAAGACTGAACAGTTTGCGCCATTTCCTGTGCTTGCTGTTTTATCCTGGTCTCTTCGGCTTCTTTGAGGGCTTGGCGCCGAGCTCTTGCCCTTTTCATCCTTATTAAGATTCGATCGGCATCAGCGGCCATCGAACGGATTTTTGCCAAGCGCTCACAATCAGAACTTTTGCACTTATCAACCATGGCTTTAATTTGCGAGCCCTTCAACTTCATTGGGCGCACAGTCTTGGCGGGTTTGGTAGGCGATGGCCTTTGTGTCGTCAATTTACGATCAACTTTGACCTGCGATGTCTTCGATGACGGTTTCTTTAGCTGAAGTAAAACACATTTGCGTTGATTTCGTAGGCAACTCGGTTACCTTTTCTAACATAACCATATTGACACTAACAAAAGAATCCAAAGTTTCAAAGTAGTTAAGGTCGAGGCAGATACAGTCGAAACCTTATTAAGCGGTCACCCACGGGGAATGGCTGGGTGACCGCTTAATTCAATGACTAAGGAGGAACAAATTTAGGGCTTTGAAAAATGGCCGCTTAATACAGGGCGACCACTTACTACAGGTTTGACTTTATGTACTTTTCTCCCAAATTTCTCCCAGTTTCAACTCAAATAAAAACGTGATAAAAATATCGGACTGAATTGAAAAATAAACTCTTCAACATGAAAAAGCATAATTTGTCGCTGCAGCTGCCAATGAATGAGCTGTAAGTAATCGGATCCTTGTGTTTGCATACAGATTTCTGGGACCTCCACGGGGCAAACATTGCAACTCGCTAGAAGGAAATGTTGGGCGAAAGGTTGTTCCGACGTTCAAAAATCGATTTTTGAGAGAGATTATCGCTTTTTCGCCGCTGTTTTATCGAAAATGGATTTGGTTAATGCTGTTTCAAGGGAAGCATAAGTTTCTGTTTAAACAACCATAAAATATGTAGTAAACTCTACCGATTAACTTGTCTCTATGCGCAAAGTTTACTGTGAACTTTACATTGCGCAGTGATCTCGAAATTTAGAGAAACTAACTATAAATCGCCAAGAAATAACTTAAAAAAGCCTTTTCAGTTTTTTGGACGTGTGTTAAGTCTACTTCTAGCTTTTTTCTTTGTAATACTAAAGAGCACTACAACAGCTACCTCGAGGCACCAGGAGATTGAAACGGTGTGCTTGAGCATTAAATATTATCGTGGTACACTAAGGTGAAACACCTACACTGCTTCTTTGTTGTGATCGGTGAGAACGAACCAGCGCTAGCGTTGATAATCGGCTTAAAACTGAACCCTGACGATGAGTAGGTACAAATGGGTCGTATAAGGAGCGATGCACAACTGATGATATATCTACAGTTTCTGCCGGGGTTCCCGTGACCTTGCTTTTCCTGACAAGATCCTCCTTTCGAGGAGAAAAGTTGCGGCTCGAAGACCTGTGGATTTTCCTCAAACATACTATCACTAGCCCTAGGGATTTCCCCATGTTTTTTATCGCTTATTTCATCCCTTTGGAGAGAGGAACAGCTCGGTAAATCTCCGCTGACAAAGACTTCTCTCCTTTGAGGAGGTTTATTTTTAAACGTTGTAATTCGTTTATTTAATTTGTTAACTAGTATGAAAACAGGCTGTACATATATAAATACAACTGAAAATACTTAATTTATATATTTCCTAACGATTTGTGGCCAATTTTGTGATATGTCGAAACCACTACACGATGACGATTTCACAATAGACCTTACGCAAGGAGAAAAGTTAATCGGTATATTTTATAACATATTTCGTGGTAATTCTGACAAAAACTTACACTTCCCTAGTATCAACGTTATCTTTATCCATTTATGATAAAACTGCGGTGAAAAAGCGATACTTTCTCTACATACACGTTTTTTTTGGACGTCGAAACAAGCTTTCGCCATACATTCCTTACCAGCGCGTTGCAATGTTTGCCCTGTGGCAATCCCAGAAATCTGAGCGCAAACGCAAGGGTCTGATTTCTGGCAACTCAATAATATGTAAGTGTAGTTAGATTGAGGAATTCATTCATTCTGGAATGAAACTCATACCAATAATAATTCTGTCAATTCAGCACCGGTTAAATCAGGTAACCTTATGGATTCTTTGACATTACTTGGAATTTCTCATCACTTCTTACGTGAATATCAGCCGCGTGGCGTTCAATCCAATAAAAAAATCGATCAAAAGAGAGCAAACGAACAGTGAAAATAAAAAACTATAACAATAAAAGACTGTAACAGCCAGTTTCAGTTAAGAGTCACTTACCAGCCGGTTTATTGCTAAATCTACCAGGACTGAGACAAAACCCGCAAAGATTAAAAGTGCTGTAATAGTCAAAACTCCCAGTAAAAAAACAAATTCGTAAACTTGAAATACTATCTCGTGATAAGGCATTTTGCCACCACAATCTAGGGAACTCTCTCTTCTCACTCAATAATTCATGACTGACTCTATGCACGTCACTGAAGTTACGATTGATGACGCGTTCGTTACGTCATAATAATTTGTTCCATAATGAAACGTCATCCCAGCTTACGAGTTGTTTATGACCTGCGCGCGAGGGCTTGGAAAACTGATAAGGTAAAATTAAATGATTTTATAATATCATATTCTGTTTGAATTTATACTTTTTTATTGATAAGATCAAGTAAGAGACGGGCACATCACTCGAGTCGAAGTGAGAATTGAATTGGAGCAACGAAGAGCTTTAGTGGTATTTGGCCCCAACGGCGCCAAAACGAGGTGGAATCAGGAAGGAAAAGAAAAGAAAGTTCTCAGCGAAGTGAGACCAAATACCTTCGGACTGGATTGGAGCTCCACCCGAAGATGCGGGGTGGGGATGAGGCGATCCCGATTTGCATTTTCTCAGTCAAACTTGGAAAAGACACTTTTATGATGTCACAACATATTTAACTTCCCAGGAACCAATACAGACGCGAAAAATCACCGGAGTGTCACGAGGGTAACACTGAATGTATTTGGGAAATTAAGTACATCGAATTCCAACATAATGTGAATATTCAAATGACTTTGTATAGGTTTTCCATGATCCAGATGAACTCTAGATTGTAAAGGAAAAGTCACGAGAATACGGAAAAGAAAAAAAAAAAGGAAAAAGGACCAATAAGAAGTCTAGACAAGTAAAGGTCAAAAAATACAGACAGAAAATAATTTATTCCTTGTAACTAATCAGCGGCGTTGCACAATACTGTGCATCTCTCCATGTAAGAAAACCTTTGCTGATAGCAAGGCTGAGAGGGGACAAATAGAGGTGACGGAATCGGCAGGTTTATTCATTTCCTTGTAGGTGTCTTAAAGTCTCGTTCACAGGCTCCTCTCTAATGTAATGAAAGAGGCCCATTAAGTAACTTTCTCAAGTTATTTTCCACAAGGCAGTTTATTCGCTGCGAATGACTAATTTATCTACGCTAATCACCCTGTATTCGTTCAGTCGAATTTCAATACCTCAACAAGTTTTATCAAGTTACGAGAAAAACACTACAATAAGTCAATAACTCGATACATTTTCCCTATAGACAAGCGACTCTTTGACCTGCAAAGGTACTTTTTTCCATTGTTTTCGTTTCTTTTGAATTCTTTTTTCATTTAACATTAAGCGCTTTCATTTCAACGCATCAAAGAAGCTTCCAGAGCTTTATTTCGAGAGTAAGAGGCCTGTTTTCTGAACAGAAATGTTGAGGATAGCCTTGTTCCCAGGTTTCTCACACAGATGGCAGACCTGGGAACAAAACAATCAACCTTCAACCGACAAGACCAACTGCGGACATAAAAACGATTGTATCTTCACCAGATGCCTCACTTACAGACCGAGCCATTTTCCTAATTTTTTCGATTTTAACCCAGTTTTCGTCAAAAGACGCATTGAAATAAAGATAAACTTTCAGAAAGTCCAATCTAAGTCAGCCCACACTATAGTTTTCTTACAGTACTTTACAATTCTGTACAACCATCTTTCCTTCATATACAGCACACCTCTCACTTCATCAAGTCGTTTATAGATGTCATTTTTCCAAATAAATTAACACTTAATCGAAACGTTTAGCTAACGTTAAACTTGAATACCATCAATTTGTTTTCTTTTTTTGCTCATTTACACAATACTACTATAATAAACAACGTACTCCATTATATTCTGCACAAAGTTGTATAACTGACACACCCAATCCTTTAACCAGGTAATTGTCTTTCCCCCCACCCCCCTCACCTCGTCCGCCAAAAATTACGTCAAATAGGACAACCAGCCGCATTAAACTAGCGCATTACCCTTGATCAATATAATTTCTAACATTAACAGCAAACCTAATAAAAAAAAAAGAAAAGTGTGTAGTTTGCACCAAATTAATCAATGTACATCTCTTACGTGCACTTTCCTGTCTTGTAAACTTTTAATTCAATCTTTAAATGTTCAAGATCTGCATCAGCTATCTTTGTATTTTGATTCAATGGCTCTCACTTTACGCCTAAAATGATTCGACGTTCTCCCAAACGAGGACTTCCAGAGTACTTGCAACTAAGACACGACATTTATGGACGTTCGTGCAGCTTAGCCAAAAATATTACTGTACAGTCAATGGGATAAAATTTCGAAGAAACCAATTTGGAGGCACAAAAAGGTGAATTCATTGCACCAAAAGGGTGTAAGCACTATATATTGGGAAGAGCCTCCTACAAATTATCACGGTCGATGAACTCTTTGATTTAAAATAAGCCACTCCTGAAAAGCTTGAGTCTGAATGAAAACTAATTCTTATCCCATGAAACGGCAAGAATAAGACTTTTTCAAATAACTTTTTTCGACTATTCTAAGATGTCACGGCATAGGTGGAGGGGGTGGTGGTGGGGGCGATGATGGCTCAGGCTCTGGGGGTGGTGGAGGGGGAGCCATTCCTTGCATTACTCCTGGTATCATTCCTCCGGGAATCAAACCAGGCGGAAAACCAGACGGTAAGAATTGACCAGGAAATTGGCCGGTCGAAGGAGGATGCATTTCCGCACTTGGAAAACCAACTGGAGTGTTCAATGAAGAGAGCAGATTAAATTCCATCGGAGGCGGGGGAGGGGGTGGTGGGGGTGTCATTGGTTTAGCCACTGCTTGGGACGAAGAAGTTAACATTGGTGCAGGGTTTACGGAGTGTTTTTTAGGCGGTTGCACCACAGTAGCAGGCGGCTTATGCGACGAGGAATGGCCGTGCCCGTGGTGAGACGATGGCTTGTGGCCTGAAGAACCGTGTTGAGATGAAGGGTGGGGTTTCTTGGAAGAAGAATGGGAATGAGAGGAATGAGAAGAACTTAGGGAAGCTTGAGAAGAAGAATGGTGAGGTGGGTGTGGCAGTTTGATGGCATGGCTTGAGCCGGAGCTGGCGCCTTTGTGATGAGAGGACGACGAAGCAGAAGGATGAGAATGCTTGACACTTTTAGACGGAGAGGAGTCAGACGACTGCGAAGACCCGCTGGGCCTCCGATGAGACGATGAATGCGCGCGCTGCGAATGAGAAGATTTGTGTTTCTTAACGGGTGTTCCGTCATCCTGAAGGTGATGATGATGGTGCTTATGTTTGCGCGATGAATCCTTTGTAGACAATAAGGCTCCTGAAGTTGAATGAGCCGTAGATGTTGTCGTCTTGAATTCACTACCTGACATCTGACCAGTTGTCGTTACTGTTGCATATTTGGACGTTAGAGGTGGAAGCGGCGGTAAGCTGGGCGGCATCGTTGTTGAAGAAGCTGAAGAGCTAGCCGCACTTGACGTGGTCACAGTCGAAGAGACAGGCAACGCTTTGAGTTTACCCGATTCCTTCCGTTTCTCCTTCTCTCTTTCCTTATCTTTCTCAGTCTTTTGCCTTTGCGATGATTTGCCATCGAGATCATTTTTTAACTTTACCGCATCGCTATAAGAATAGCCATTATGGGCTCCGTCAATGCTGTTATGAGCCGTGGCTGATGAAGATGCACCCGAACTGCTGCTCGCTGTGCTACTTATTTTACTTGACTCTCCTTTGGATACCTTACTGTGAGACACACCCTAAGAACAAAACAAAATCACAAGCAAACTCAAATCAAAGGGAAACATATCAGGCATACACAGCTTCATACAGTACCTCACATAAGATACCTTGAATTACGCACGCGTTTTGATTGGGTTTTTCTTATAATCTATTGGAGGACAGACGCATAGATGACGTCAACACTACCAAATTTTGCCTCTCATAAGACAAATAGATTCCATGTTGCCGTGGGTCTGTACAGTAATAGATCGCAGAACACTCAAAATGTGGTAAGAACATCAGTGACACACTCTGCCGCGCCTCGAGTGCCACTCTTCGTTCTTAACAGATTTTGACGTCATTTGTGATCTATCACTGAACAGACCCACGGAAACATGGATTTGCTAGCTGTTCACCAACGTCGTTCTTCCTTTTCCATACGAAGAGAACACTAGAACATCCGAGGAACCAAGCGACGACTCTGCCAAGTCTTTGTTACATAGGAGTTAAACTGAGGAACTCTTGCAATTTTTTAAAAGCTATTTCGTTCTATACAATATGGTCTTGGATCAATAACATTCCTATCATCAACAAGAATAAATTATTAAGTTTTTCGATGTGTCTTGAACCAGATTAACATCAAGAGCCCACACCAACAATGCATGGAAAAACAACCTGTCGCCAGCCTTAGCAAATTACTTTGAATCATCATTTATCTTGCCTTCAAGTTGGCAACGGAACTGATCTTTCTTTTAAGTCTGTTGGGGCACTTTTCCATCACTTTCAGAAAATCTTGTGCAATTTCTGGATTAAAAAAAAAATGTATGGCCACATTCAAACATTCAACTTGATGTACAACCATAGAGTGAATGAACGAATGAGTGAGAGAGTGAGTGACTGAGTGAGTAATATGGATGAATGAATGAACAGATGGATGGATAACTAATTAAAATATCATTGATTTTAGATAGAAATAGTAGAGATGGAAGTTTTGAGCTCAGTAAAGAATTAAGTAAGATGTTTTTTCGTCTTGTCACGAGCGTGGGACAAAGAAAAAATTCTGAGTCCCCACGAGGAATTGAACCTCAAATCAAAGCACAAATCCGAAGGTCTGAGGTTGAATTCCTCATGGGGACTCAGAATTTTTCCTTTGTGCCACGCTCATGACAAGATGAAAAAACATCTTTCTTAATCATTAATTTTATTACACTAATATACATATTGATGTATTTAAAATACCAAGAATGACCAGGAAACTAAATCCATACCATCTAACATTGTTTTGTTGACCGTTGGATCAATGTATTCCCACCAGTCCTTTCCATCATTTGATCTTGGAATCTGCATGACAACACAGGAAACACCACCTTTTTTAAACTCCAAGTTTCA